CAACATGGTCTCACTCATGTGGAATTTGAAAAGGTTGTTCTCAACAGAAGTCGAGTAGGATGGCAGTGACCAGAAGCTGAGTGGTTGGTGGGAAGGGGGAGATGTTGATCAAAAGACACAAAATTTTAGTTAGATAGGAGGAATAAGTTCAGTGATCTATTATGCAACTTGGTGACTATAGTTGATAATATATTGTACTCTTGAAAAGTACTAGGAGAGTGGATATAAAGCATTCTCTCAATAAGAATGATAATTATGGGAAGCTCACATAGCAAGGAACAGATGTCCCTGGTCATCAGTTAGTGAGGACCTGAGGCCTATCATAGCCACATGGGTGAGCTTGGGAGCAAACCCTTCCTAAGGTGAGCCTTGAGATGACTATAGTCCCAGAACACCCGTTTGGACGTCATGCACATGTTAATTAGCTAGATTTAGTCATTCCACAATGTATATACACTGCAAAATATCATGCTATACACAGTAAATGCATAACATGTTATGTCAACTGTTAAAAATTAATAATAAATACATAGAAAATTTTAAAGAGGCCTTCATCGGTAGAGAGCTCAAGACCAAAAGTTAGAGGAGGTGTGATACCTGTAATCAATCCAGGTATTGGATGTCCCACCAAGAAACTTCAAAAATAAGGGCTAGAATCCAGAAGAGAACTGTGTTAGATATCTATTTCTATGTATCAAACTACCCCTAAACTTAGCCCCTTGAAACAACAAGTATGTATTACATCACACTTTCTGAGTTAAGAATCCGGGCATGACTTAGCTGGATGCCTCTGGATCGGGGTCTCTTATAAGGTTGTAAAAACGGGTGTTCTGGGACTACAGTCATCTCAAGGCTCACCTTAGGAAGGATCTGCTCCCAAGCTCACCCATGTGGCTACGATAGGCCTCAGGTCTTCACTAACCGATGACCAGGGACATCTGTTCCTTGCTATGTGAGCTTCTCCATAAGGCAGCTCACAGCATGGCACCTAAGAACTGTTTGGTGACCAAAGAAAGTGGGATTACAAAGTAGTTTTAGCTTAAATGAACGAAGGACCATGAGAGGGACCATGAGAGGGGTCTGCTGTTTAATTAAGCCACCCAGTCATAGTATTTTGTTAAAGCAGCCCAAGCAGACTAAGACGTTCATCCTTCAGGTTGGGTCAGGATCTCCTACGAGCTCTCCTTCAAAACACTAGTCACAGTCGGAATTAATTATGGTCCTCTTACCACAATGACACCAATGGAGAGTGACCTTTATGGGGATAGACGACTGTGTCAGTTTCATTTACCACTCATAGTCACCCTCAGTGTATATAGTCCAATGCCTAGGACACAGGAGATGCTCAATAAACATGTGTTGAAAGATTGATTGATTGATTGATCAAAGGTTCTTTATACTCCAACCCATCCTTCAAGTCTCAGTTTAATGTAACTTCATCAGAAACATCTTCCTTCGTAGCTATGAACTAAATGTTTGTGTCCCCCTAAATTCATATATTGAAGTCCTAATCGTTAATGTGATAGTATTTGAAGATGGAGAAGTAATTAGGTTTAGAATATCTCATGAAGGTAGAGCCCCCATGATGGGATTAGTGCCCTTATAAGAAGAGAAAGACCAGAGCCCTCTCTCTTCACCATGTGAAGATACAGCAAAGTGACCAACTGCAAACCAGGAAGCAGGCATTCACGAGACACCAAATTGGTTGGCACCTTAATCTTGGGACTTCACAGCCTTCCAGAACTGTGAGACATACATATCTGCTGTTTAATTAAGCCACCCAGTCGTGGTATTTTGTTATAGCAGCCTAAGCAGACTAAGACACTCATCCTTCAGGTGGGGTCAGGATCTCCTATGAGCTCTCCACGAATCACTAGTCACAGTGTTAATTAATTATCTGGGTGATTGTTTTTGAATGTCTGCCTTCCCCACAAAACTCTGCCTCTAGAGCAGTACCTTATCAAACACCAAGCACTCAACAGAAGTATTGTGAATGTTTTAACAAGTGTGTTTCTTTGTTACAACTAAACTTCATTAAGCCAGGCGCAGTGGCTTATACCTATAATCCCAGCACTTTGGAAGACTGAGGACAGAGGATTGGCTGAGTCCGGGGGTTCAAGACCAGCCTGGACAACTTGGTGAGACCTCTTCTCTACAATAAAATCACAAAAAAATTAGCCAGAGCCCAGCAGGTCGAGGATGAGGTGGCCAGGAGTGTGTCACTGCACTCCAGTCTGAGCGACAGACTGAGACTCAAACTCAAATAAAAAAATTTGTTATAAGTTTCTGTAGGCCGGGCACGGTGGCTCACACCTATAATCCCAGCACTTTGGGAGGCCAAAGTGAGAGGATTACCTGAGCCCACGGGTTCGAGACCAGCCTGGGCAACTTGGTGAGATCTCATCTCTACAATAAATCAAAAAATTAACCAGGCGTGGTAGCGCATGCCTATAGTTCCAGCTACTTGGAAGGCTGAGGTAAAAGGATCACCTGAGCCCAGCAAGTCGAGGCTGTTGTGGCCATGAGCATGCCACTGCACTCCAGCCCAGGCGACAGAGTGAGACTCCAACTCAAAAAAAAAGTTTCTGTGCTTTTTGTTCAGGACAGAGTAAACTTCCAATCCCAAAGCTGAAGAAAGTAAGAGGCAAGAGACCAATCTGGCTCCCTGTTATCACTAATGGTAATGAATCTCCAGGGAAGCGCAGCTTTATCCAGCAAAATAAGAAACTGGATCTCTAGATGAGTTTGCATGTGAGCTGTGTGCATTTGTGTATCTCTGAGTTTCATGGGGACCAAACAGAATCCCATATAGCCCCAGCAGGGCCTGATGCCAGCTCCACAGAGATAAGTAGTCTGCTATGAATAGTTTACCCAGAATCCCCCAAGAACCCCATGGGCCTGGAAGGGCATGTACCATTAGCCAGAAGCCCCTTCAGCCCAACTGAAAGTTATATGAATCTGAATCAACTGATGTCTGTCTATCCTTTAATACAGAAGAGATATAAGAAGAATCAATTAGGTTTCTACATCCATTTCCCCAGGAAAATGGTCCAGCAATGGTACTATGTGCCAGGAGCAAAAGTTGCCTCCTAAGAAATTTGTGAACCCAGAAGGTCTGGGAAATATTCAGCTCATTTCTAGATCCAGGTATGTGTTGGTGACAACAGACTTGGGGAGCATTGTTTAGGAAGATTGGTTGTTGAAAAACATGGAGGGGTTTTTTTGTTTGTTTGTTTTTTGAGTTGGAGTCTCACTCTGTCACCCAGACTGGAGTGCAGTGGCCGCTCCCGGCCACCACAGCCTCAACCTGCTGGGCTCCGGCGATCCTTCCTCCTCAGCCTTCCAATAACTGGAACTACAGGCACGCGCTACCACGCCCGGCTAATTTTTTGATTTATTGTGAGATGAGGTCTCGCCAAGTTGCCTAGGCAGGTCTCGAACCCGTAGGCTCAGACAATCCACTCACCTCAGCCTCCCAAAGTGCGGGATTACAGGCTGAGCCACCAAGCCCGGCTACCATGGAGGTTTTGATATGTGCAATACCAACAGGACAGGACCTGCCCATGCCCATGACCTTCAGACCATGTTACAACCCTGAAGCTTCCTGAACTTTGAAAGTCTGGTTAGTCCCCCAAGAAGCATAGTCCTCAGGCAACATTGTGACTGAGGAGCTTCTTGTGAAAACCAGGACTCTCCATCGTCAGAACGGCTTGGGAAGACAAGCACCTTGCTGGTGACCTGTTGGTGCAATTTTTCACAATAGCCTATATATGGAAACAACCTAAATGCCCATTGATGGGTAAATGAACAAAAAAAATGTGGTGTGTTTATGTATATATAGAATGAAATATTATTCAGCCTTAAAAAAGGAAGACATCTGGTCATTATCCACAACACTGAGGGACATTATGCTAAGTAAAATAAGCCATAGAGAAAGATAAATATTGTATGATCTCACTTACAGGTGGAAAATTAAGGGGAAAAAAAAGAGCTCAAATACACAAAAATATAAAATGAAACCTTCGTTACCATGGAGGGCAGAAGGGATAGGGAGGTGTAGGTCAAAGGATAGGATGAAAAATTCTTAAGATCTAATGTACAACATAAGGACTAAAGTTAACAGAATTATAAATTAGTCAGTCATGGTGGCCCATGTCTGTAGTTCCAACTCCTTAGAAGTCTGAGGCAGAGCAATCACTTGAGATTGGTGGCCATGAGTGTGCCACCACACTCTGGCTTGGGTGACAGAAAGAGATTCCTACTCAAAAAAAAGAAAAGAAAAAAGGTTAACAGATTTGTATTGTACTAAGTATTTTTGTTAAATAAGTAGCAAATAACCAGCAGCTCTTGTCAAAAAATTAATTATGTGAGATGATAGCTATGTTAATCTGCTTCTGTATGTAATCATTCTACTATCTATACGTATCTCTATGTATCACATGGCATTGTGTTATAAACTTCAAATATACACAATAAGATTTATTTTTAAACACATAAATAAAATGTGTTTAGAAACAAGCTGTAGAGTAAGTAACCCATCAGTGCTTTCAATAAAGGCTGTGACTGGCTGGATGCAAGATTTGCAAAGCGAAATATTTTAATGGACTTGGGAGACCCCTTACAACATTTAAATGAGTATGGGAAAATGAGTCATCTGATTAGAGATAATGAAAGAGATTTAAACACAGTTTTCTAGCAGAAAAAAAATGGAAATGAACAAAGAATTCATAAACACTAAATTTTCAAAAGAATTCCAGAAAGTTGGCTAAAATTGGGTCAAAATATATGACTTGATGCCAACTCAGTGACGGATCTGGACAAACAGCCTGAGTAGTCAGTAGTGGGAAGATCTGTCCTTCACAGAAATAAAAGACTCCGGCCCAAAATGCAGCACTCATTCCTCCTTTCTTTCCGTTCCAGGTTGTTCTTGGGTCTCAACGTCATGACTCCTGATGCCAAACACTTTTGATCAGTCATCTGCTGGAGAGGACAGACAAGCCATGGAAAACCACACCACTGTCGTCGAGTTTGTCCTCCTGGGGCTCTCAGATGCCTGTGAGCTGCAGATGCTCATCTTCCTGGGGCTCCTCCTGACCTACCTCCTCACACTGCTGGGGAACCTCCTCATCGTGCTCATCACCCTCGCAGAAGACGCCTCCACACCCCCATATACTACTTCCTCCGCAACTTTGCTGTCCTGGAGATCTGGTTCACCTCGGTCATCTTCCCCAAGATGCTGACCAACATCCTCACGGGATGCAAGACCATCTCCCTCCCAGGCTGTCTCCTACAAAGTTTCCTCTATTTCTTCCTGGGCACCACAGAGTTCTTCCTACTGGCAGTCATGTCCTTTGACAGGTACATGACCATATGTAACCCCTTGCGCTATGCCACCATCATGAGCAAAAGGGTCTGTGTCCAGTTAGTGCTCTGTGCGTGCATGACAGGTTTCCTTCTCATTGTTGTTCCAAGTCTCATCACATTTCAGCAGCCATTCTGTGGTCCCAATGTCATTATCCATTTCTTCTGTGACAACTTTCCACTCCTAGAGCTCATATGCGCAGACACAACTCTGATAGAGCTTCTGGGTTTGGTTATAGCCAGCTTCAGCCTACTGGGCACTCTGTCCGTGACGGTCACCTGCTATGGCCACATCCTCCACACCATCCTGCACATCCGCTCCACCAGGGAGAGGCAGAAAGCCTTCTCCACCTGCTCCTCCCACATCGTTGTCGTGTCTCTCGCCTATGGCAGCTACATCTTTATGTATATGCGGTCAGGCAAGGGTGGCCAGGGGGAGGACAGGTACAAAGTGGTGGCATTGCTCAATACTGTAGCGACTCCGATGCTCAATCCTTTTGTCTACACGCTGAGGAACAAACAGGTGTAGCAGGTGTTTAGGAAGCACATGAGCAAGCTCCTCTCATAAAGATGAGCCAGACCTGAGAGAAAAAATCGTCTTCTTGCCTTAGCCTCTGCAAATGATGTTCCTGTTCTGATATTCATGGACTATCCCTGCATAGACATTTTTTGGTCACATGTGCTAATCTACGATGGTTTCTTACTTATATCATTATTAGTTCATTCACTCTTGTTCAGAGAGCACAGACTGAATGGACCTCTACTATGGGTGGTATGTCTTGATTTTTCTGGCTGTAGCCTGTATCTGAGTAACCTATATCTAATAATAATAATAAACTTAGCATTTCTTCTGTGCTAGAGCTTTTCAAAATTGATTTTAAAAACATCCTTAACAAGAATGTATTTATAATATACTTCAGAAATATTAATTATATGAAAAATTTAAAAGGAAGAATAACCAAGAAGTGTGGAACAAACACTTGAGTAACTAACAAGTAAAACAACGGAACTTTATAGAAAGCCTGGAAGGACACCACGTTACATATAAAAATATAATAGGTGATAAAAGTGGACTTTCTAATAAGTAAAGAAGGTCAATTCAATAAATGATGTCAACCCTATTGGCTAACCACAATCCTTCCAAAAAGATTGGACTAGTATTTGTTTGGCTATTTGGGGAAATGGAGGAAGAGGGAAATTAACGCAGAAGACCAATTTAAAAGTGGTACATGCCTTAAATATTTACTTGAAAGTAAAACCTATAATGATATATTCAGCTGGGCACACCTGTATATATACACCTGTAATCCCAGCACTTTGGGAGGCAGAGGCGAGAGGATCACCTGATCCCACGTGTTTGAGACCACCCTGGGCAACATGGCAAGACCTCATCTCTAAAATAAATTAAAAAATTAGCTGAACATGGTGATGCTTGCCTGTAGTGTCAACAACTTGGAAAACTGAGGTGGAAGGATCAGCTGAGCCCAGCAGGTGGAGGCTATAATGGTCATGAGTAAGACTCCAACTCAAAAAAAAAAAAAAAAGATATAGTCATTTACTAATCTATAAATGTCCTTTTCTTTTTTGTAGGCTTTTTTGGCTAAGCCACATTTATAATGTTATCTTCTATAATTTTCAGGATTTGTTTCAGTAGTACAAAAATTTTCAAGATGCTGAGAAACTGTGAGCAAAATTCTAAGATTTCTAGTCTTTGCCTGTTTGTTTGCCAACCTTCTTAGGACTCACCCACAACTAAGTCAACAAAAATTTTTTGACCACCTGCTTTTATGGAATCTATTGAGAGAAATTAGTTTTCATGGAAACAATTTTCTTTTTACACTCATATTTCACTGGCTTATCTTTGTTTAGTTAAAGTATATAATTTATGATATCAATTTCAATTATCAAAGAGCGATTTGGAAACAAACAACTGATTCTTGGTATAAGTCAACTGGTGGAACAAAAGTATGCACATACGGAAACCTACCAGCTGCTAAGGTCCAGCATGTTATGGACGTCAATCATGTGGGGAGAAAGTACAGCACAGAGATTGAGAACAGAGTTCTGGAATCATACTACCTGTATTCATATCCTGGTTCAGTTACCATTAGCTACTTAATCGTGAGCAAAGAAGACTTCTCTGTATGTCGGTTATGCACATGGAGATAGTATAATAGTAGTATCCACCTTACAGAATCCTTTACACACTAAATGAGTTAATATCTGCTCATATACTGAGCACAGGTCTTGATACAGAGTGTCATGTTAAATGTCTTACAAAAGGAATCAGTTAAATAAATGAAAGTAAATGAAAAAATCTTCAAGCTTAGGGAAAATTAAGTTAGATTCTCACTTCACATGTTAAACTGAAATAAATTTGAAATGAATTAAGTAGATAAATACAAAACCTAAACACATTATTCCAGCTACTTGGAAGGCTAAGGCGGAAGGATCACCTGAGCCCAGCAGGTTGAGGCTGCAGTGGCTGCAAGTGTGCCACTGCACTCCAGCCTGGCCAACAGAATGAAACTCCAACTCAAAAAAAAGATAGAAAATGATCTTATTACAGATGTGCAGAGATTTTTAATGGAAGAAAATATAGAAATAGATACAAATTTGACTATGTAAAGTTTTTAGATTTCTTTAAGTCAGAAAAAATAAATGTGAGGGGGACACAAAAAAAACAGAATTTACTTATAAAAAGTTGTGTATTTATTCTTACATGTTTAAACTTTAGTCACCTTCAAAGTACTCTGTTTGCTTTTTCCACTGCTCAAAACGGGGAGGGTGTTTGTTTTGGGTTTGTTTTTGTTTTTTAGCTAGAGTCTCACTCTGTCGCCCAGCCTGAAGCATATGTACAGCCCCACAGATTCGACCTACTGGGCTCAGGTGATCCTACTGCCTCAACCTTCCAAGTCGCTGGAACCACAGGTGTGCACCACCACACTCAGCTAATTTTTTCGATTTATCGTAGAGATGAGATCTCACCAAGTTGCCCGAACTGGTCTCAAATCCCTGGACTCAAGCAATCCTCTCACCTCACCTCCCAAAGTGCTAGGATTACAGGAGTGAGCCACCATACCCAGCTCCAAACAGTTTTTGAACTTGTGGATTTTGATTTTAAAAAGTTTTTCTGGTGTTTTTTTGTCTCATGTCTTCCACATCAGCAAAAATGCTTCCCTTTGAGGACTTTTTCATCTGGGGAAACAAAAAAAAGTCACTTGGGCAAGATCAGGTGAATAGGCAGGGTGGGTCACGGGGGTCATGCCACTTTTGTTCTCAAACTGCTGAACACTCATCGCAGTATGGGCAGGTTATTCATGTAAATTGCTATCGTGAAATGGGGAAATGCATTGAAAGGCTCTCAACAACAACAAAAAATTCGCTGAAGCCAAATGCAGCCTCTCACAACAACGCTAGCTGGTGCACTGATGCCGAGGGGTTTCTAGAACACTTACCTAGTGGGGGATGCCTGTCCTACGAGGGACCGGCCCTTCAAAACATAATTAAGGTCTTTTGGGGGGATCCCCCTTGTAAATAATACAGTGGCCACACGCAATTTCTACCTACCTAACATCCATTCCTCATTCTTATCATAAGAGGACCCTGATTTTTCTCAGGAAAGTCCTTTTCATTCTCAGTCTGTGTAGTTAGAGTGGTGCTGAATTCATCCTCAACCAATCAGAGCATGGCCGTGGTTATCCACTTAGGGATGACCACATGACTAAAATCAGGCCAGTGAGATCAAATGGGTTTTATCTGAGAAATATTTGTGGGAAATGATGAAAGAGAGGCTCTCTGGTGGACTTGAAGCTGGGAGAACAATAAACCAGAGAAAAGTATAAACCACTTTCCAAATCATTTGAAGGGGCTAACAGAATCTTGATATCAAAACTGAAAAGGACATTACAATAAAGAAATGTTACAGCCGGGCTCGGTGGCTCAGCCTGTAATCTAGCGCCTTTGGGAGACTGAGGTGAGTGGATTGCCTGAGCCTGCGGGTTCGGGACCCATCTGGGCAACTTGGTGAGATCTCATCTCTACAATAAATCAAAACTAGCCAGGCGTGGTAGCGCACGCCTGTAGTTCCAGCTACTTGGAAGGCTGAGGCAGAAGGATCGCCGGAGCCCAGCAGGTCGAGGCTGTGGTGACCGGGAGCGGCCACTGCACTCCAGTCTGGGCAACAGAGTGAGTCTCCAACTCAAAAAAAAAAGAAAGAAATGTTACAAAGCAAACTTTTTCACAACACAGATGCAAAAATCCCAGACATCAGTGAACTGAATGAAATGATAGGTAAGGAAAAGAATACATCATGACCAAGTGGAACATGCAGAAAAATGTGATAAAATTCAACAAATATTTCTTTTAAAAAAAAAAATAGCTCTTTGCTGAGTGCAGTGGCTCACACCTGTAGTTCTAGCTATTCAGGAGGCTGAGAGAGGAGGATCACTTGAGTCCAGGGGTTTTAGGCTGTATTGTACTATGACTTAACTTGTGAATAGCCTCTGCTCTGTAGCCTGGGCAACATATTAATAGCAAGACTCCATCTTTATTTTTAAAAAAGAAGAAGGATGAGGAGGAGGAGCAGGAGGAGAAGGAAGAGAAAGAGGAGGAGGAAGGAGAAGGAGGAGGAGGAGGAAGAGAAGAAGAAAAGAAAAAGCTCTCTAGCACACTCTTAAAGAAATATCTGTAATATATTAAAGGCAGCTACAGAAGCCTATAACAAAAAATATTATACTTTATGGTAAAATGTTGAAAGATTATTCTCTGAGATCAGAAATACACTGAGAATACCTACTATCACCACTTCTATTGTACTAGAGTTCCCAGCCAATGCAACAGAGTAAGAAAAAGAAATTAAATGGGGCAACCCCCTCTAGTCCCCTCTTGCTCTGGGAGCTTTTCTATCCTCTCAATAAATCCTGCTTTCTCAACTTTAGAAAGAAAGAAAGAGAGAGAGAGAGAGAGAGAGAGAGAGAGAGAGAGAGAGAGAGAGAGAGAGAGAGAAAGAGAGAGAGAAAGAAAGAAAGAGAAAGAAAGAGATTAAATGAAAGTACTGAGAAAGGGAGGAATAATGCTATTATTATCATCACCGACATGCTCTTGTATATCAGCAATAGCCAGAAAATTAAAATCTTAAGGAGCTAGGTGCATGGATTCACACTTACAATGCTACTCACAAGGAACAGGCAAGAGGATCTCTTGAACCCAAGAGTTCAAAACTGCAGTGAGCTATGATCACACAACTGCACTCCAGCCTGGGTAACAGGGTGAGAACCCCATCTCTAAAAAGAAAAGAAAACTAAAATACTAATGATATGACTTTCTGTAACATCAAAAAGGTAAAATACCTAGAATAAATCTAACAAAAGATGTACAAATCCTTTATTCAAGAACTGAAAAATGTGACTAAGAAAAATTTTAAAGACCTAAACAAATAGAGCAATATTTTATATTCAAGATTTGGAAGACTCTATATTATCCCCCACACTGATCTATATATTTAAACAGTTTCAATCAAAATTCAGATGGGGGTTTTATGGAAATTGACTTATTGGTTCTAAATTT